CCGTAGGTACAGACAATAAAAGAGGTAGAGAAGGGGGATGAGGAAGGTGGAAGTGAGAGGGTGAATTGCGCAATTCACGTGAAACAGAAGACCAACGCGTTTTAATTAATTAATCCGCAAGGGTGAAACGATACTAATATCAATGTAATTCCAGCGGTCGTTCCGCGGTTTGCCGCATGCGTGTGCACATGGCAGCGCTTTCGGAATAATTGTAACGATAACGGGCGAACGGAGGCCTAGTCTGCTGCGCACTCGTTCCGTGTCGGCTAACCGTATCGTAGCTGGTGTACAAATCCCAAACCCACCCAAACTCCCCCTTGGGTCACCCCCCTCCCGACTACCTAACTCTAACCATTTTCCCTTTGGCGGTAGCACATCAAACGCGGGTTTCCTTCCGCGCATTTTTATACGTCCCGCTTACGTTCTCTGTCACGCGCAGGAGGTAACCTCGTCGGTTTTCTTTTTTTTTTGCGGGGGGTTGGACGAGGGGTGGTTTTGTTTAGACCTCAGGACGACAGGGGCGCTTCTACATTTTTCTGTCCGATCACCCTCTTTTTAGGGGTGTATGTGGTATCTATGGAAAGTCCTGTGCCGATTGATGTTTGGGTAGGAAGTAATTTTTTCCAAATTTTTTTTTTTAAATGAGGAAAAACATTTTTTTGATTTTGTATTTTAAAAAGTTTTGATTTTATTTCATTCGGGACTAGCTGGTTATTTGTGTAAGATACGACTTTCTGGGTCTGAGTTAGGATGCTAAGGGTTGAAGGAGGGTGCAATCAAATATGGTAACTGTTGCGACCGCTCAACCACACTCGGACCCCGAGGGCAAGATTATCCGAAGAGTTGGGACAGTTTATAGGATATAAGCATAGCGGCGGTGCTTTTGGCAAAGGGTCGCGTTTTCACGAATGGTACGTGGGGTCGAAGAGTGCGGGGATCGTGGTACATCAGCCAGCTCCGGGTTGCCCTAAGGGTACGGGTAGGGCAGGAGTCCCAGAAGAGCCTTCTTGGTTTCCCCGAAAGCAAAGCAGATTACAGTGCAATCATCGTGCGCCCGAAACCTCGCCGCACAAAGTATAAGGGGACACCGGGCGTCAGTTATTCGACGTCTGCCAGGAATAGACGTTCTTATCAGGAATGGGTTGGACCAATAAGCTAACCTCTGACCTACCTTTCGTAAAATCATGACGATTATTCATAACCATCCTCGTACCACGTGGTTCGACAATGACGGATGACGTCAAAGACCTTCTCACACGTGGAGGACCTTCCGTCGTCAGACAACGCCGACGTCGCGCGTCCTCCAGGACGGGACGAGGGTGGAGGACTTGTCTGGTAACATTTGACAATGAACTCCCAGCGCTGTATTGTACTCTTGCACTGCGCGGAACCCCAATGTGAGGTTGCAGCAAGTCCAGCAGCAGCTTCCTATAGGTAACCCGACAGTCAGTCGGCGTCGTGCGCTACCGAAGAATTCTGCTCTGATACGGTTGCGGAAGAGGATGGCGGGGACGGCGGAGGAAAGGAGTAAAGGCAGAGAGAGACTCCGTTGTGATCCAGACGAAGGGGTTCGGGTCGCAATGCCATTGTTTTTTCACCTCCGAGGGCCCCGCACGGCGCTACGTGCATACAAAAAAAAAGTGAATGCGCTGAATGCGTTCCTAGGATTTCAATAATGCTTACGTGCCCTGGCTCTCTCTCTCCCCCCTTTTTTTACAAAGAGTGGACCTTGTTGCTCTTGTGCTCGCACAAGCATGATCGTCAATACACTTTTATTCCGTGCTTCGGCACGGCTGTCGGGTTATACGACAGTGGCGCCGCGCGTGAGGACCCGATGGTACTACGTACTTTGTAGGTTATCCTTTTTCTCTCTCTCAGATAACACTCATCTAGCACGTTTTTTAATTAAAAAAAAATATTTCCACGTCCAGTCTCGTTGCTGAACCATTTCTCGATGGTACCAACCTAACCTCACTATTGGACACTGTGCGTTGGTTGATTCAAAAGATATATTCATACACCGTCATTCCTCGTTCACGCTGTATAATTGCAAGAACAGCACCGTCTACGGTAACTCGAACAGATCTCTCTCAGATACGAGGTAAAACAATATAATGGCCGCCCGCGTTCCGGGCCAGGGTGTACGCCATTATTGTCGACCTCTTTATCTTCTACGACGAATCTCCTCGTGCACCACCGCGATGCGAAACCTTTTATCGTCGAAATGAACAATGGACTCACTACTACTTTTTTTTTCGTCATCCTTTTTTTTCTTCTGTCTTTTTACCTCTTTACTTTTTCCTATCTCACGAGCATGGGCTTTGGGTATATGATCCGTGAGTCCTGGTTTGTACTCCGTCATCCTGAAGATTCGTGACGCGTCAATTGTCATCTTTAAAGCCTAGTGCACTTCCTGTCTTACTTTGAGGCCTGTCAGTATATTTATATGTATATATATATATTTCTTGTTTATATATATGTATATGGATATATATGAGGTTCCATCATCTCATCTCATATCGTTCCCGCCTGAGGTGTGGTAGCGAAAAACCTAACCCAACCCGAACTCCCACCCTGGTACCACCTTCCCAAGGGAACTTTTCCCCCGATGCAACCAGGAGAAAAGTATGCATTGGATTCGCAGGTCACTGAGCCGTCGCATCGCCTCGACGAGCTCACGTCACCAGCTCTAATTTATCTACTTCGTCAATCTTAACTGACCTCCTGCCGTGGTCTCAGGTTACCGTCCAAGATGAACGTCGTTCAGCGTCGCGACGTATACCGCATCGAGACCCTCCCGTGGACGCCTCGCTTTTCTTTGTCTTTCATTTTATTCATCCGCCTACGATACTGCTGATACAATCTTTGCTTGTAGGTAGCCATCGTCGTATCGGTTCTCTATTATAAGATCGTGTGGATTTGGGAAAAGATTCTGATCCTCTTTGAGATATGACTTGAATTGTGACTGTATGACGGGCAGAGGCCTACCTGACTTTTCTTTTTAATTTTGACATTCTTCAGGTATTTTTTGAATCGAATTGTGGTTATGGAATTTGATTTTTTTGTGTATGAAAATTGTTGTAATTATATGGAATTTACTGGTTTTTTTTTTTTAATTATTGTCTTCTTTACACTTACTATCATTTAAAGCGTGGTGGGTATAAAAATGTCTTTGCGATGGTTTTTCGAAAATTTGAAACCACTATGAAATTGAACGTTTATCCAGAAATCTATTTTGGTTTGATAATTTCGCACGAAATCCTAATAAAGAATTCGTAAACGCATCTGCCGGTATGTGTTTGGCTTATCGGCGTGATAACACGGGCGTAAATGAAATAAAGAGTCAAGCCGATTTCCACGCTTGGCCGGAGTCGTTACTCGCGGGCCTAGCGTTTAACAGAAACGCATAGAGAATAGCCATTGCTGTTGTTGCAACTGTCGATAGCAGCAACCGACGTGGTAGCTATTGCTGTTGTTGCTGTATCCTCCCTGCGCAACGCGCCCGACAATACGCTCGCGGAGGATTTCGGCCGAGAGGCATTTATCGGTAATCCATTGAGCGCAATTCGCGTAATCCGCTTTGCCTGCGATATTTTGCAGGCTGCCGCTAAATCGGCTTGGCGATATAGCAGCGCCAACGACGGCAAAAATTGGAATCGGACGACTCGCGTTTTCAACCGTCTCCGTGGCCACAAGGCGTACTTTCTTTTTATAACGGGGATGACGTGTATCCAGAGGCCAAATAGGGGTAGTTCCGTCGATTCTATGCTATGACCACTGGAGAGGGATGAAATCCTGCGAATTTCATTCCCCCGTAGGTATTTCGATATATGCGAGATCCAAGGAAACGAATGTCCGTACTAGGTTAAATTTGAATCAAGGTTGCTAAGGGTTGGTACATAGGAAAGGATCGGGTTGGGTTGGCAAGTAAGTTGCATGGAACGACCTCCTGTTATTGAATTTGCGGCAAACCACACACACGGTAGCTTTGTAACTATGCCTGGAAAAAAAAATATTAAACGCAACCCCTTTCGCAGAATGCAATATTCCTTTCTCATATAAAGGGGTAGTAAAACTCTTTGCCGGAAACCGACAGGATCTTTGGTCGCGTTTCATTTTACCTTGGCAAAGGATATCGCCGGGTTACGAACTTCTGAGAGGCCCTGATATTGGGGGTTGAAAATAATTTTTTTCTCTTCTATTCTCACACGGTACAAAATTCATGGAATATATCTGTTGACACGAAGGGGTGAAAAAAATTACTGCAAGGAAGCACCTAGAAGACCCTTTGACTAAGGGAGAAATCATCCACCAAGAGACGGAAAGCGAGTGCGTGTGACGGGGTTGACAATGTCTTGGCTTTTGCCTCGCGACCCCCGGGGGTGGTTTGGAGCTACGTTGAGGGATGGTGCGAGGCAGCCTTCACGTGGACGAGGGGGATGACAAAGTGTCTCAGTCCTGGTGAGAGAATCGTAGAGCGACGAAAATCCAGTACGAAAGATCCATCCCAGCCTCCTATCGTTCTTCTACTCATCTCCGCCGCCGACG